AAATAAATAAATAATAAAAAAAGCTGCAACATTTAAAGGGTGGTGCCTGTAGCTCAAAGGGGTAGGGCACCAGCCCCATATACCAGAGGTGGTGGGTTAAAACCCGGCCCCAGCCAAAAAAACTGCAAAAAAAAAAAAAAATAGCAACTGGTAAAGGTTTTATTTTAAAGAGGTATGATAAGGAAGGGAACATAGGTGATTGCACATGATTTCTGCTACTGCTCAATCAATCACCAAGTACTGCCCTTTTCATGCAAATATGAAGTCTGACAGTTAAGTTCACAAACTTGCCACCATGCACTTACATTGGCAGCACTATACAAATAACTCAGGAGGGTTTCATAACCTTAGTATATCAGTGTCTCACAGCTATATTCATGTCAACATGTGGCAGTGTCTGCTAAGTGGCATTCATTATTGTTGTTGGGTGTTTTGTGTGCTGTCATGCTGAATTATTAGAACAACAAACAAATATTAAATTTCTTGTTCAACTTGGCAAGAGTAGAGTGGAAGTGAATTCAGGGACATGTTAGTCCAAGTTTAGGAAGAAAATGGCAGTATACAAATGGATAATACATTTTTCTGAGGGAAGAGATAGCATTACTAATGACAAGAGGTCAAGGCAGCCAGTAATCAGCAAACTAACCAAAACATTGCAACAGTTCATCAAATTGTGCTTTAAAATTGTACCATGAGAACCATAGCAGACCAAGTAAATCTTGATAGAGAAGCAGTTAGGAAAATCTTAGCTGAAAATCTTGGCCATTAACTCATGGCTCTTGCATCATAACCATGTACCAGCTCACAGAGCACCATCTGTGAGGGAGTTTTTAGCCAACAAACAAATGACTATATGGGAACACCCACCTTACTCATCTGACCTAGCCTCTAATGACTTTTTTCTTTACCCAAGGATAAAGAAAATATTGAAAGGGAGACATTTTGATTACATTCAGGAATGTGTGGGGTTTGGACAGGCAGAGAACATAAGCAAAGGACACAAAACCAAAATGGTGGATGGGGCAAAATGTCTGGGCTTATCTTGGGACCACTGAGGTAAGACTTTAAAGCTGGATTGAAGAGGGCCCTGAATTCATGTTATGGAGTATGGATTCCAGCAGGCACTATAAACTACTTGAGTAAATGAATCTTTCAGGCAGGCTAACAAAGACACTTGGCCTCTTAGAAAGAACAGCAGCAGGGCGCCTATGACAAGGCCTATGCCCCTCATCTAAATTCTGATTCTTTTCTTATTCAAAATTCTCTTTAAGGCCAAATTCATGACCTTCTAACACTCCCTGGCCAAAATCCCATTTACACTGCTCTCATCTTGTGAACTTCAGCATTGCTTATTGTCCCACAGCGTTCATAGTTGACTATTTCAACTCAATACTAATCATGGGTGGGAAGGAGTTAAGTTTTCTTTCAATTCAATTATTATGAGTCTCAGTGCCTCATAATAATTACTAAATACTTAGTTAAAAATTAGCCTAAGCACATAATGAGAAAACTAAATGTGTGAAAGAAAATCCTCCAAACATAAGACATCTCAAAGTCAATGATATAAATTATCCAAACCTTTATCCCCTAATTAAATTATCCAACTTCATTTTCTCTAATGGTTGCACACTATACAATGGTGGAGTGGCAGAACGAAATCTAAATGTTAATATAAATAGTCTCACTTCATTTCCCATCAGCGGGTGGCTGACCTATTTGTTACCCTCTATAGACAAGGTGCCTTCTTGGAGTTTATTTCTTGGGTGGAGGTAGCTAGGCAGATGTCCACTCTTCTCCTGGTATTTGGGGTATGGGACATACTTGACTGGGTTCATTTGTTTATTCATTCAACATGTAACAGTAATGAGACTCTCTGAATACCAAGCAAATTAACAGATGCTGGAACAACAAATTCTTTTAGCAGTGCAAAGACAGTGGCTGCTGTTGCAGCTGTGGGCCACAAAGCAGGGAAATATTAGCTACAAGATTTATTTACATGTGATAGAGCTTCAGGTTTAAAA